CGTCAAACCAAGTACACCGACGAGTTTGGCCGGGCGCTTGGACCAGAAGGAGGCTTTCAAGCACCTCAGCCACCAGTTCCACGGCAAGGGCAGCGGCAAGGGCAAGACCGACAAGCGACTCAAGAAGATCGAGGCCGAGAAGAAGCGCGAGTCGCAGAGCATACTCGACGCCAGCGAGAACGCGACCATGAGCTCATCCAGTAGCAAACGGAAGGAGGCCGGCGTGCGTTTGCAGTGATGCAGGATGTAACCCCCCTGGCTCATACAAAGGTGCAACACCCTCTTGATAATTAGTGGCCCTAATGACAATAATTCCCTGCTGACACCCCTGCGCAAATAGACGTGGTGAGTGGTATCGCGGCCGCGCACTTGCGCGGCCCCTCGTCACCATTACTACGGGAAGTGCTCTCACAGTTGCTCGTGTGGTGCTGTTACTAACGCGTGTACTGACCTGCTTTGATATGTTCGCTTTTCTCAAGCATCGAACTGTGTACTGATCACTACCGGGCTCATGAAGCTGGCTACTGTGGGGGGCCAGTGTTCCCCGACCTTGTGACTTGCCCAGTGGCTCATTTTTCAGCATCAGACTCTACGCCTCAGCCACTTCCAATTTACTTGCGTCGGCATTTACCAGACTCATATCCGCCTTCCTGCCCGGCACGGTTACTTTTGTGAATCATTACAGAGGCGTTGTGGTCCTCGTACCGCGCTGAGGCGAAGCCCATCCAACCAGCCAGCGCCTCGTCCACCTGCACGATCAACTGGCCCATCAAGGTTGGCGACCCGGATCTCAGTTCTTGTCTGGACATGTCTATGAGCTTCACTCTTGCGGCTTCGAAAGCTTGAACCCTTAGGTTGACGTACCCTGCCTGCTCCTGCAGCGCCGCAGCGCCTGCGCTCAGCGTGCGGTGCAGGCGTGACGTTCCGTGCTGCGGACGAGATTCTGTCATTCCTGCCATTTCCATGTTGGTCTTGCTGGAGTGTCTTTGTTGTGGTCTGAACTATGATACTCTTTTGTGTAGTAAGATCTTCTAGGTTTTGCGAAGAATATCGAACCTCTCCAAACACTGCCATCAGTGCGGTGCATCGGTTTTTGTATATCTGCACGAGCGTGAAAAAGTGTATGAAGTTACAATAGCTCTGTTCGCTACAGTCGAAGACGTATAATAACATGTTTTTTGTATTGCGCCTGCTTTGTTTTGTCATTAGTGCTCGTTCAAGGGCCTGAGATACACCAAAGCTATTGTTCCGCGTCTGTCTCGCAGATTACAAACGGGATCCGTACATCGAGTGATGTCACCCAGTCTTCAGAACGCAACGCATCATTCTCGAGCTGGCAAAGATATCATCAATCAAAAGACCAAATGTCCGCTTTCAATTCTATTTCAGCTGGAAGGATGACAAGAACGCGCGCCAAGTAAATCCCAAAACTCCAGTTCCGTTCCCATGCCTCTCAAAGGCTGATATGTGCACCAATGCCTCTGCCCGTGTACCAAACCGTCTCCCGCCAGTTGCCTATCCTCACCGTCACGTTCGCCTTGGCATCTAGCTTCAGCACGCCCCCCCAGTGCCTTCTTGACGGCGTCGTAGCCAATAGAGCCGACAGACCACTGTACCGGCAGCTTTGGCGTTTTGGTCGCCCCTGGCGTGACGGCAAAGGGCAAGTCGTAGTCGATACGGCCCACAGGCTCTGTATGGTTGTAGTAGGCTGTCGCGTTGACCGCGTCTATGTAGAGCGTGTTGTAATGCAGTGGGGAGACGAGCGTGAAAGTAGCCGTGGAGGAGATGACGTGGAAAACGGCATCCCGGATAAAGTGACCCTCCTCGCCATCTTCGCTGGGAAGGTCAAGCTTCGGCGCAGGGATGCTGATGTTGAGGTGCGAGAGTGCCTCACCGATGAGGGGCACGGCGGGGATGCTGTCGCGGTGGGTCTGCACGTCCAGGGTCACGTTATAGCCGGACAGGTACTGCGACAGGAGCTCGGCCCCGATCTTCTTGCCTTTCCCGCCAGCCACGTTGGCATCCCATCGGGCAGTAACGCGGATGTTGGTGTTGTTGCCTCTTGTGAGGTTCAGGTTCTCTGCCGTGGCGCTGCCAAGGACGGAGCCGTTCTTCGCAATGTGTATGTTGACGTAAGGTATGTATGCGGCATAGGGTGTGGGATTCGTCATGTTGATCATGGCTTCAATGTCAACGGATGACGACGAGGTGCCGAGGATTTTGATTTCGCCGACCTGCGGGCTGAGGCCGCCGAGTGTGTCGCCGGGAAGATCTGGCAGACGGTCAGCCCGAGTCGATAGACTGTCGACGCAGTTGATCGGCAGATGCTGGCAACAAGGAGGATCGACAGTCTGGTGGAGACGAACAGCATTAAAACGAGTACGGACGTTTTACTGGAACACTGCCCTCGGCAGGAACATCCCTGAGGATCACCTTGCCCAAGGCAGTCTTGATCTGGACATCGACCTTAGCGTACACGTCGAGCATGACGTCCTCGCCCCCGAAGAAAAGCTTAGCCATGACGTCTGAGAAGACATCGCCATCAGTAATGTTGAGCGGAACCTCCTCCACGCGAGATTGGATCTTCAGCAGGGGGTCGTGTTCGTCTTCATCCTTGACTCTAGTCGAGTTGGCATGGTTCCAACGGTCGAGGTTCAGCACGCCCATCTTGTCACCTTTGTACAAGACGTCTGCCGTCGCGCGAGGTTCGTGACGTTGATACCAAAGTTCATCTCTTCGGGAAGCGCAGCGAGAACCAAGATGGTACCGGAGACCTTGGGGCTGCCGTCAGGGTCGTCAGGTCGGCCATGGGGCTGGGTAGTTAAGTGACATCTGTGAGAGAAAGCTCGGATGACTTCATCCATGCCTTGGCTGGGGACGGA